CAGTACCTGGAGGGGAGACTCCTGGGAAAGCTGAGGCTGCTGCTGGAAGAGGTGTTAGTGGGGCCAGCAGGGGGCGCTCACCCTGCGGTCTGTGTGGGTCCTAATGCCCCAGTATAGTGACGGGGACACTAGACTGTAAACAGGCGCCGTCCTTCGGATGAGACGTCAAATCGAGGTCCTGACTCTCTGTGGTCATTAAGAATCCCAGGGCGTTTCTCGAGAAGAGTAGGGGTGTTACCCCGGTGTCCTGGCCAAATTTCCCCCCTGGCCTTTACCCATCATGGCCTCCTAATAACCCCCCTCTCTGAACTGGCTCCATCACTCTGCTCTCCTCCCCACTGAGAGCTGGGGTGTGGGGAGCGGAGTGGAGCCTCATCCAGGTGGGGGTTTACACTGCTGGGGGTGGAGGGGATCCCCAATACCTGTAAAGCGCTTTGAGTGGAGGGTCCAGAAATTTGCTATTGCTATACTAATACTAATGCTAAGGAAGTAGTATTAATATCCCTCAAGAATATTTAAGATCCTAATAAAAAAACTCTATAGAATACACCTGCTAATAGGAGGTGTCAATACATTTGGAGGCTGATGTCTTTCACGAGCGGGGACACTTTAATAAGCATTCTGGGAAAGTGCGAAATGGTGCATGCAGTAATAATTGACATTGCTTTACTTTGCTAGCTGATCGGTTTGATTCCACGACGAATCTAAAATATTATGTCATCAAATACCCCTCCACCTTTAGATCAGGAGTGTTTGGAGCTTGAAGCTTCCGAGCGATTTCATGAAACCACAGCCGGACTCTAAACTCACTGATCAGCCCTGCCAGTGTGGCCGGTAGCTCTTCCCCACCTTTTCGCAACATGCCAGTGGGATCATTATTCCTCCATACTTGTTTAATGTCTTCATTGGAAAACGCTATTTTTTACACAAGTGAAGATTTGAACAAGAAGTGATTTTGTCTCTTTCTCAACGTAAAATACCTCTGAACGCTTATCTCCCGAAACACGGCTGGAATGAATTCTTTATTGGTGGTCTCTGTGGTACTGTTGTGGTGGACTCTGCTGTCGAACTCATCTCCCCCCGCAGAAGTTGATAAAGCTCGAATGGAAGAGCTCGGCTGCGAGTTCAGTACCCTTTCTGATGTGATCTCTGAAATCGTGAGATTTCCACGGCCTCTGATCTCTGAGACATATTTTTTTTCTTCTAGGTCATCGATGAAATCGAGAGGGATCCATCCCAGTGCCAGTGTATCCTCAAGAAATACGATGTCTATTCCGTAAAGGTGCTGCTCGGTTTGGGTTCTGATCCTGATCATTTCTAGTATTAATTATCCCCAGGGGGTAATGAGCTGTAGATGTGGTTGATTATCATAGTTCAGTGGAGATCATAGGCCAGCAGCCATATCACCCTGCAGCTTCCCACTGGCAGCCCCACTGGAGACTCAGCAGGTGGGAGCCTGGCCAGTACCTGGAGGGGAGACTCCTGGGAAAGCTGAGGCTGCTGCTGGAAGAGGTGTTAGTGGGGCCAGCAGGGGGCGCTCACCCTGC